GTGTGTCTTTTATCAGAGGTCACCTCGCCTAGTTTAGAGAGGAAGCATTGTATGGTGGGGTTCATGCTTGCTAAGTTCTTCACATTTCTAGTGGCTAAACACAGGACAAATGAACATCCGGAAGTGCTAGCTCTTCCCATGAACAGATTTATGATCTTGAACTGGTTCTTTCTTTTCAGGTTGGTGTTTTTTTTGTTTTGTTTTTTTTTTTTTACAGAGCCTCACCTTGTTCCCCAAGCTGGAATGCACTGGGGCAATCTCGGCTCACTGCAACTTCTGCCTCCTGGGTTCAAGTGATTCTCCTGTCTCAGCCTCCCAAGTAGCTGGGATTATAGGTATGCGTCACCACACCTAATTTTTTGTATATTTAGTAGAGATAGGGTTTTGCCATGTCGGCCAGGCTGGTCTTGAACTCCTGACCTCAAGCAATCTACCTGCCTTGGCCTCCCAAAGTGCTAGGATTACAGGTGTGAGCCACTGTGCCTGGGCTGAATAGGTTGGTTTTGATTGGTGGTTTTCAAACTTTAAAACTTAAATTTGTTCACATATTATTCAAGCTCCTTAATATATAAAACATAAAAATGGATCCCCTCAGGTATGAGAGGAGGGGTGGTGTCCACATTGGGCCACTGAATTATATACTGAGTCTTCCTCCCACATCTGAACCCTTGGTGCAGACCCCTGGGCTTGATGATTATAATCCTTCCCAATTCAAACAACTGAATCTTTTCCAACTTCTAATTTAGCTTAACTTGTTTTCTCTAGTCATTCTGCACAAAGACAGACATGGAAGTGACTGTATTATTTCATCTCTTCTTGACCAAAATGGGATAGTGTACCAGGGCCTAGTGCAGTGCTTGAAACACAACAAGGCTCTGTGTACTTTTTTTTGAATGACCATAAGGGACTGGTGGTAGAGAAATAGCCAACCAGTAAAAGGTATTTAGGTATGAAGAGAAAGAAAAAGGAAGATGCATTAGAAGTGATTTTAAGAAATGGAGGGAGACTGAGGCTGGGTGACAGGCAGAGCTGCTGCTCTATTAACAGAGTACAAATTGTTTTTCAGGCCCTAGAGTGAACAATTTCCTTTTTCTCCCCAGCTCCAAGATGAGTATTAGGATTATTATCTTCTGCCTGTGTTCTCAGTCTTGGAATGATTTTAATTCTTTTCTTGTTGTATGATACGTTTTAAATAGGACCAAAGCACTTTCATTGAATTCTTGTGGAGCTTTCTATCCATAGACTCCATCTGTCCATCCATCTATCCGTAAGCTAACATTCATTGAGCCTTGCCGTGTGCCAGGCATGGTGCTAGATGCTGAGGATGCCTATGTAAACGAGGCATGATTGTTGCTTTCAAAAGCTCAGCATCTAATAAAGGAGAAGGATGTCTTTTCAAGTAACCGTAATGATCCATGTGGTAAGTATATAATACAGTAGAGATAAGAACAAAGTAGTAGTGGAGTCCAGAGGAGTGAGTGACTTGTGGCTCCATTGCAAAGCTGGAGAACACATCACCTCAAAGAAGGCAGTTGAGATGGGCCTAGGAGAAAGATTTGGGTGTTGCTAAGTAGAGATGGGAGAAGTCCCCTTCAGTGGAAGGCCTAGGGTGGGCAGTGGTTCATGGACAAGAGAATGTGATGAGTGGAGGAGGAGCTGTCCTTCAGGCTGGAGTACAGGGTTTGAGGATCATTTGCTGCATTGATGAACTGAGACTATATTGTGAAGAACCCCAAGAGACATTCATAGAAGGTTGCGCTGGTTTTTTGATTTAATTAATATGTGTAGAATACAACACTTTAGTGTTTACAAACAGTATGTTGGCTCTGTTATCTCATTTGATATCCATGATTGTCCCGTAAGAGAGACCTAACTTATACTCCATTTTATAAATGAAGAAACTGAGGCAGAGGGAGGTTAAGGATTTACTCAAGGTTGCATAATTAGCATGTGGTTTAACTGATTCTCGAAGCCAGGGCTTTCAGTCTAAAGAGCTATGCTGTTTAAACATTAAATCTTGAAGCATAACATAAACATAAAAAGCCACACCCGCAAATCCTAAGTGTATGAATTGAAAATTTTTACAAAGCGAATGTAGTAAATAATCTCCAAATCAAGTTAGGGAAGTTTGATTTCTTTCTAATATTGCACTTTCCAATCTACAAGCGTGGAATATTCATCTTATTTTGTAATTTCAGGTTATAGATCTTGTTTATATTTCTTAGACTTATTTCTCAGTTTTTGAATTTTGATGCTATTATAAAATCTTTTATTTCAAATTTTAATTTATGATTCTTTGATTTGGTATAAAGAGGTACAACTTACTTTCATATATTGACTTTGTTTTTAGGTATTCTGCTAAATTCAGTTAGTAATTCAACTAGACTGACATTATTGGATTGGTCAGGGCCTCCAGTGCTGTGATGAATAGAAGGGAAATAGTGGGCATCCTGTCTCCACCCCCCCCTCTTTTTTTTTAATATCAGAGGACAACTTTCATTGTGTACTGATATGATATTGGTGTGATGCTGACTCAAGGACTTTGTACAAATTGTCAGATTCAGAAAATTCTGTTCCTCTGGTTTGCAAAGATGGTGGCGGAATGGAAGTTTCAGGAGGGAGGGAACAGGAATAGAAAGTCCAGTTAAGTCTGAACTAGCACCAGGAGCCATGTGGACCTAGAGGAGGGAACGCATGGGAGAGATGTCCTGGGTTCCTCTGTTTCCCCAGTCATTCTTACTTGATCATTGCTCGTCTCAGGAAAGCTTCAAAAGAAAAAAGAACAGTAAAAGTTGCCAGGATTCTCTTTCTCTGAAGTCCTAAGTAGTGTTCTTGAAGATATTAATAGGTATTTAATGATAAAGGTGTGGCGTTCAAATCCATTTGGAAAAGTCTGAATACAACAACCCCCTCTTAGAGAGTCACAGTGCACAAAGCTCTGAGAACCTTGCAGCAAAGGCAGTAATTTAATTTAACACAGCACCCATTCTCCTATCTTCAGCATTCACAGCGTTAACAAAAAGGAGGTTCAGAGGAATTTCATAGATCCGCTCTTAGGAAGTTTAGGAAGTTTAATGTTTCCTATTTGTAATAAAATCTGTTATGGGTCAGTGTATTGGTGTTCCTGAGGTTATAACCATACCCTTCTCTTTCCCCTAGACATTCAGAACCAATTGAGAAAGAAACCCAGGCATCAAATAGGGATCAAAATATTACCTCGATTGCTGGTGAAGCTCAACTGGAGAAAGCTGTTTGGACTGGAGTCCAGATTGGTTTTCAAATGCTTCCCTCTGAATCAGATGGACTTGTCCACCCAGCTGCAGGGAGGAGAAGCCCTGCTCAGTGGTTACTTCCACTTGCACAGCAGAGCAGAAAGTAGAATTCAAATGTTCTGTGGGCAGGCAGACCCAAAGGAAGAAAGACCACATGGGAATAAGAGCTTTGGACCTTAGCCCTTCCCAAGTGAGGACTGTAAACCTAATGCCATACTCTAATAATTCTACCAAAAGATAATTAAGCAATGCAGGGGAGGAAGAAGGTTTGGGGAGTGAAGAAAAAGCAGAAAGCCTAAAAAAGATGGGAGTTTGTAACTTCATTTATGCTGGGACAAAGGGAGAAAGAACTGCTTGTACCAAGTGCTAAGAAGCTGTTTGTAGTCTATTTTTGGCTTAAAGGTTGATTCTTCATGTTTAGGAGAGTGGAGAGCAGGGCTTTGATTAGCTGGGATATAAAGAAGATGGAATAGGAAAGATGAACCATTTTCTTGGGGGCCCAGGCAAGAGGAAGTTTTAGGCTGCAGTGTGGGCATCTAGCAGCCCTAACTGTACTGCATTGTTGATGTGACTTGCCAAAGTTTGTTTCTCTGTTTTTCTTGCATTGTAACCAGCTCAGTCATGTGCGATGTGCTGATGCTGAGCTATAGAGGGGGAGGAGCAGGAGAAGATGGAGGCCAGTGACCCCAGACTGAAAATGATCCCCCAACCCCTGGAGGATGGTTACTATCATGAGCACTGCTGGCATGCCCAAGGGTGGGCAGGAAGCATGCAAGAAAAAGGCCTCCATTCTCTTGGGGCAGTCCTGCAGCCTTGCCCTCTTGCTGTCTTGCTCTTGAACACTTAGCAGTTTCTCTGAAGGGCTATGAGAGGCTGGCTTAACAGGGATGGGCTTTACGTGGTGTGGTTCTGAATTATTCCTGAGTCATTCTTGGTTCAGAGAAGCCACAGGAAGAGGAATTAATTAGCATTCTTGGGGGTGTATTTCCTAGGCTCAGCTCACTTTTGAAGGTGAACTATTGAGATTCCCAATCACTGTCTGTTGAATTGTGATATTTGAATCTCATTATAATGGTTGAGGGGACTGGAAAGTACAAAATGAGGGCCAAACACAGAAACATCCACTTACTATCACAAGATAGAGGATTCCGAAACACAGTAGGCAAGAATGAACTGCTTCCCATGAGACTGGGAACCAGGGCCCATCCATTCAGGCCATTAGCCTTGCTTGAGAGATTTTTGATCCAAAAGAGGATTGTGCTTTTTCCCCTAAACCTGAGGATTCTGTTCCTCCAAGGCTGAGCTCATCCTATGCATAAGTAGAGAAGGTAACCAATTCTGTGGGCTAATTATAGGGGTTGGGGTTGAGCAGAAGGGAAGTGGGGTTGGATTATAAAGTGCAGCCTACCCAAATGTGACTACTAAAGGCTCTGCTGAATTTAATAAATTTCATCATCCAGTTTGGTTAAGAAATTCTTTTTTTTTTTTTTTTTTTTTTTTGAGACAGAGTTTCACTCTCGTTGTCCAGGCTGGAGTGCAATGGTATGATCTCGGCTCACGGCAACATCTGCCTCCTGGGTTCAAGTGATTCTCCTGCCTCAGGCTCCCGGGTAGCTGAGATTACAGGCATGTGCCACCACAACCGGCTAATTTTGTATTTTCAGTAGAGACAGGGTTTCTCCATGTTGGTCAGGCTGATATCAAACTCCCGACCTCAGATGATCTGCCCACCTCAGCCTACCAAAGTGCGGGGATTACAGGCGTGAGCTACCATGCCAGGCCAAAAAATTCTTTTAAATTTCCCTTCAATTTCTCTTTGAGAGGATAGCTCTTTACAATTCTCTTTGAGAGGATAGCTCACTGGTACTATTTACTTAAACACAGGGTTTGTAACCCATTGCACATTAGAGAGAATCACCAGGGAAGCTTAAAAACCACCAAGCCTTGCTCCCATCACTGACCGATGAAATCACACTCTTGAGGATGGTATCTGGCCAAGTGTGGAGCACAGTTTTAGAAAGCTACCCCTATATGGATTAGATCTGTAGCCAAAGTTGGGGCATCATTGCCTTGATGAAACAGAACATTCAATATGTAAGTTTTGATGAGAAGATCATGAGGGGACAGAGAAGTTCTAAAAGCATGGTGAGACAGGGTATCACATGGATTTATATTTTAACAATTTCTGTTGAAATCTATATCACAACGGTTTCTATGTGTAGTGGTTTGCCATTAATGAACACATCTTAGTCTTAGAAAGCAAGACGAGTACCTAGATAGGACATCCTCAAGAAGGCATTTTCCAGCAGGCTACTGGAAATTTATCTACAGGTTTTTCAGATAACCTTTGAATGATGGAAAAATGTTGTGATTTTGTTTTGTTTTAAGATGGACCTCATTATATGCAAATTCCTTTTTTGGATGAAAAGACTTCATCAAATACATAAATTTTTTTAAGTGTGGAATGATTTCACATAAATTCACAACTCTGCTAAAGGTTATTTTTTTTTTTAATTTATATTTTTTTTCTGTACTGGGTGTTATGGCTTTGGGTTTGGAAGGTGAGGTGCACAGGTAACCTGCATCCTGAGCCCTCTTAGGTAGTGAAGAGAGCAGCATGGGCCAGTACTGTTGACACAAGTAACTTAGTGCTTGGCCATTTGGCCTGAGCTGCCTCCATTCTGCAGTGAAGGTAGAGAAGGTGATTCCAGAAGGGGAATCTGGTGACACAAGTGGAAGAACACATGGCAACTCTGGCTGTGAGCAGTGCTCTAATCCTGACTCTGCTGAGCCATGGACATGACATTAAATTAGCTATTTGTAGAGCTTTTAATAGTTCAGCATGAGGACTCAATAAGGTCATCTGTGTAACATCCCAGTGAGAAAAAGCGGAACTAACCTTATGGGCACTTCCTGAACAAGAGGAACAGCAGAGGAGCCTGGAGCTCAGAGAAGTTCCATGTCCAGCCCTAGTGACATAGTTGGAAAGTGGCGTACATGAGACCCACACTCCAGCAGTCCAGCCCCTCTTTCTTGTGCCAGGCTGGCTGCCTCTCTGCAGTGCGGGCCTTGTGGTTAAACACTGAGTAATGCCACCAGAACAGATGTGCTGAGCAAATTAACATGTGCCTCATTTAATGCTCTTATTGTTTGGATACAGATATCGGAGTCGCAGTAGCTTTCACCCTGAGGAGACCAGGTTGGTATGGGGGTTCCTGTATATCTCTTGACTTATCTTGGGGATGACCCTGGGAGGATATTCAATAGATCCTAAAGCAGAAAGCCCCATACTTTTTGTGAAGTGGTAGGGTTCTCATGCTGGAATTTTTTGCAAAGTAAAGGAAGTGGGGGACATGGTGGCAGCTGTCTTAGGGACTTACCAGGTAAGTCTTCCTGATTTGGTGATTGATTCCAATACAATGTCTGGAACCCCTGAAAGCCTCTCATTTGTCAGAAAGGTTAATAATATCATCTTCCTCATGGTATGCTGTGGGGATCCTAGGAGATAATATGTGTAAAATGATGTTCCTGGCACATAGTGAGTACTTTATACAAGTGTAAAAAATTTTAAACTCACCTTTCCTTGTTATCAATATTGTGACAATTTGTAGCATGCTTTACACTTGATAAACATTGTTTCCTATTTTAATATCACCCTGTGAATTGGGTAAAAAATGTCCTTGTGTCACATGGGAAGAAATATGCATCTGAGTTAAGTATCCAATCCCAAATTCTAGAGCTAACAATGAATTCAGGCAGGTGCCTGAGCTGAGCCCTGTGTCTCCAGTTCATTTTCTACTGCCCGATCAGCCAGTGGCACCATTGTTCTGGGCTGGTGAGCCATGCTGCCACTTACTGCTTGATGTCGCAAGGCTGTGGAGAAGAAATCAATTTTCATCAAGAAGCCTTTTCATGCTGGGAGTCATGCTGGGTGTGCCCTTGATGACTGACTCATGGTTTTAGGCAAACAACCTTGTGTGTTTGTGATACTAACATCAGCCCACCCAAGAGGGCCAAGCTGGTTGTAAATCTTTTGGGCATTCCTGAAAGTTTATTTGGCTTACTCTGTAGGGGACCTGAGCTGTGCCTAGACCTCTGCTTCTCAACACAGGTCTGCCTTATAGTAATTAAAAATTTCTGAAGGTGGATTGAGACATCAGTATTTTTATAAACTTTCTTAGGTAACTCCAACTAGCAGCAGGGTCCAGAACGCTTGGCTTCAGAGGGGCAGGGGTGCCTGTTTGTAAGAGGTGGGACATCTCTTCCTCTTCCCCTGCTCGTGACAGCATCTTCAGCCACACCCCAATACCTCAGGCACTAGCTTCACTACTGGAGAACTCAGAACGCTGAGGCTAGCCGTGGCGAGAATGTCAGCTCCCGAAAGGAACCTTCTGTCTCCCTTGGTAGATACTGTCTTTTATTATTAGAAACTCCCTATTTGTGAATGGGAGTCACTTAGCTGCTTCAAGCAGTCTCCAGAGCCCACTGGCCAGGTTTCCAGGAACATCGGATTCTGCCTCTGTGAACTGATCCTGGCAGAGAGCACCTAGGGACCACAAATGCCGATTCGGGGTTGGGAAGGTACTAGCTTTAGGTCTCCGGCTTGGGAGCTACCCTTTAAAAACAGAACAGTGAAAACTATTATTGGAAGTCCACCTTGTGTATGTTCTCCAGAGATTCCTGGGAGACTTAGGATGATGTTCTTATCAGAGGATGATGGCAAATCAAAGGGAGAAACTGTTACCTCCAAGAAGGGCACTTATTTAGCACTCTCTATATACACTGTCCTAGGTGCTCTGCTGCATTACCTCATTTTATTCTCACAACAATCCTGTAGAATAGTTATTTCCATTATACACAGGAGGAAACTGAGGCTCAGAGAGATACTGGACTTGCCCAAGGAATGAGGGGTCCTGTCCGTATCTAGGTGCTTTCAGAGTTCATTCTTTTCATCGTAATATATCTCAGGGTCTCAAAGGACCCCTGAGTTTCCCTTGGCAGTCCCCATTTCTGATGCTCGTCCTCTCTACAACATCCTTTAACAGTGGTGCCCAGGCCTCTGCTTGCTCACCTCCAGGGACGGGAACCTCATTTCCTCCCAAAGTAGCTCACTCCACTGTTCAGACAGCACTGATGTGGTGGCGCCTTAATTCCTTATCTGAATCAACGCAGGGTGTATATAGAATAAGTGAGCAAAAAAGTGAATAGAATAAGTGAATGAGTTGAGTGGACATCTGTCTCCTAGTGCCTTCTTCTCATTGGTCTTAATCCTACCCTAGGACAATAAGAATAATTAAAGTTTATTGAGCAAATAGTGTGTTCCAGGTACTGTGCTAAATGCTTAACATTTATTATCTCATTTCACACATGAGGACCCTGAAGCTTAGAGAGACTAAGTGACCTGGTCAACGTTGCAAAGGTAGTGCTGGGATTAGAATCCAGGCAGTCCGACTGTGGAGGCTGATCCCTAACCACTGCATTCCACACATCCTAAGTCCTAAAGATATAAGCAAAATGGGAGGCTGTGATTGTTCCACTGCCTTTCACGTTCCAGGCCTTCGGATGTTTACTGAATGGGGTTTGAGCCTTTGCTGTCATCTCCTCCCTTCACCTGCAAATGTTCACTTCCTCGTTCCTTCTCCTCTCTCCAAGATGACCAGCCTGCCTGCACTGAGGCCAGGACTTTTCCCCAGCCTGGTTTCATCCATCTGTGCCCCAGAGCCCTGTTCTCAGCAGCCCTTCAGCTCAGATAGGGGTTATGTAGGAGGCTGGCAGAGCCTTAGGAATGCTCTTGTCTGTCAGAGACCATAGACTGGGAGCTTCATGCAATGAGAAGGAGGCTTACAGGCATGGTGTTGGGTGCCTGTAATCCCAGCTACTCAGGAGGCTGAGGCAGGAAGATAGCTTGAACCCAGGGGGTGGAGGTTGCAGTGAGCCGAGATCGTTCCACTGCACTCCAACCTGGGCAACAGAGCAAGACTTCATCTGGGGGTGGGCGGAGAAGAGAAGGAGGATTAGAAATGGCTTCCTGCGCATGGTTAACAGTAACAATAATTGCAGTGGACATTTGGGGCATGTGCCATGTGCCGGCTGAACTGAGCTCTTGTGGTGTGACCTCAGGAATTTCCAGGCCTTCTTGACCTTGGTCTCAAGAGAGCTCAAGTCTGGTGATGGTGTTCACTCTGCTGAAGGTAACGGACAGGCTGCGGCTGCCCTGTGGTTAGACGTTGGCCTTTGAAATCAGGCAGGGCTGGGTTCCAGTGGCAGCTCTGATGTTCAGAACTGTGTGATCTTAGAAACGTTGCCCAGCCTCTCTGGGCCTTGGCTCCTCATCTGTAAGATGGGCAGGAGAGGGTTGCTGTGGTGATTAAATGACGTGACTGCTTTTTTATGCCTATAAGAGTGCCTGGTGAGGCAGGAGAAACAAATTTCGGCTAGTGTTATTAGTATTCAGTTTGCCTCTCCACATGCAATTCCAGGTGGACCTCAAGATTCCAATTCAGGTGGGGTTTTTGTGTCTTCTGCAAAAGCAGAGCTCCCTGGAGAGCTTGTTGGGTGCCCCTGACGCTTGTTTTTTGCCCCCATCCTGGGTGGATGTGGAGGCTGATGGGCTTCAGGAGAGTTCGGTATATTTATGTATCTACCTTCTCCTAATATGTCTGAATGACTCAAAGTTTCTATTATTGTTTTGTTTGTTTGCTCTTTTCAGAAAGGGGATGTTTGGGCTGAAGCTGAAGAAGAAGAAGAATAAGGCAGAGAAGGGGTTAATCCTAGCCAACAAGGCCGCGAAAGGTGAGGCTCAGGGTGGGGTGCTGACCACTGGGGCCTGAGAGTCTGGCAGAGTGGGACCCTGCTTGGCTGAAAATACAGTCCTTTTCCTTGAGAGTGAGGGTGAGTGTGAGTGTGATGCCCTCTGACCCTTTAGGTCCTGCCAGTCACAGGTGTGGGCCCAAGACAACCCCCATGGCCCTTGGTCGTCTGGGTCAGATGGGTGGGTGGGCATGGAAGGGGTCCCTATGAGAAAGCAGCAGCAGAGTTCAAACTCTGTTTCTGTTCTTGTTTATTCTATGACCTAGGATGAGTGGCTCTGAGTCTCAGCTTCTCCTTTGTCTAATGTCATGACATGGGTTGCTGGGCTGATCTCACACAGCTGTGGGGAGGATCAAGTGAGATTTTGAAAATAAGGGTTAGGAGCACAGCTGCTGTGGGGGAGGCTTCACACGCACTATCTCGTTGAATCCCTCCACCATCTTCCCAGTAAATATTGTCACCCTAGTTTTACAAATGAGTTTTTTACAGAGATGCAGAGAGAGTACAAAAAATGTAGAAGAGACGCTGCAGAATTTGCAAGGCCCAGTGAAAAATAAAAATGCACAGCCATTGTTAAGATATTAAGAGTTTCAAGATGGTGACAGAAGAGGGTGAAGCAAGTGCAATGAGGTTCTTTTTTTTTTTTTTTTTTTCCTGAGACGAAGTTGCGCTCTGTTGCCCGGCTGGAGTGTAATGGCATAATCTTGGCTCACTGCAACCTCTGCTTCCCAGGTTCAAGTGATTCTCCTGCCCCAGCCTCCTGAGTAGCTGGGACTACAGGCACATGCCACCACACCCAGCTAATATTTGTATTTTTTGTAGAGATGGGGTTTCGCCATGCCAGCTAGGATGCTCTCGGTCTCTTGACCTCGTGATCCGCTTGCCTTGGCCTCCCAAAGTGCTGAGATTACAAGCATGCGCCACCGCGCCCGGCCACAGTGAGGTTCTTCTGAGTTTGGGGTCCTGTACAGCAGCACAGACCGCATACCCATGAAGCCAGGCCTGAGTGTGGGAGGTACACAGTCAGGAAGCAACAGCGTTGGGATGTAAATCCAGGCTGTCTCACCTTCTGCTCTTAGAGTGGGCTACTTCCTTCTCCAGAGGGGCAAAGTCTTGAGTTACAGCGTGAATTGCATCAGTAGAGGCCAGGCCCAGCACTGGGTAGATCCTCAGTGTTTACTGAATCACATTGGATCAATGGTTTCCAAGTGGACAGATATGGGGTGGTCCTCTGGAGACTTCTGCTACATAGTCTTGACTAAAAACCAGCTCAAGGCTAGTTTTCTGGACCATTCCTAAACCAAAATGGTACCGTGGGTCTCATTAATCTTCACCCCTCTTGTCTCTTGGAGGGCCTCCTTCACTGCCGTCTACTGCAGATATCCTGTAGCCTTATGTTGTACCTAACTCCACCCTTTGGCCTCAAGTAGAACCTATCCTTACGGTAGAAAAACATGGAAACTCATTCATATGAAGGTATTGGTAATGATTAACAGCCTTGGATGAAAAAGGAGGGACATTGCATTTTCAGTGGGGACAAGGCTTAATGAAAGCTTAAAAGTCCTTGTTGATTCAAACCGTACCAGGGAGTGGGTGGAAAAGGCTTTGGGATTATTCCTGGTGTCTTTGAAACTATAACACTGTGGGAGGCCCTGTGACACAAGGTTGAATAAGGCACAGTCCTTTCCTGCTAGGACATTATGAAAAACAGTATTTGACATATTTAATAAGTCTCTGCTGTTTTCTACTTAACATACATCATTCATGACTCTGAAAAGTAGTTTCTGCTGCCCCCATTTTATAACAGAGGCTCGGAGAAGGTGAGTGGTTTGCCCCAGTCACACAGCTAGGAAGTGGGGAAGCTGGCTCCTGATCCCGGGTGAGTCTTACACCAGAGCCTGGGCTTTGCTACCCCATGAGCGACCTCCAGTTGAGAGCCCTCCCTGAGAAGCTGGCGGATATCTAGGGTAGTCGACCACAGGCATTTCAGAGCAGCTGGCTCCTGTGGCTCATTCTAGAGTGTGCAGCCCACAAAGCAAACAGGGCAGAGGGGAATCAGGCCCCTCCTAGAAAGTAAATAGCATCCATCCTGCTATCCAGAGGCCAGCCCTGTGGGAGACTGAAGAAACCGGGCCCAGGGAACAGAGACTTTGGTCTCTCATTCTTGGCCTGGCCTGGACAGTTAGGACTCTTCTGGGTGAAATGTTTGGTGATTTTCTAAGTCCCTTGCTTTTTTATCTGTGTATTTTGAGGCATCATAGTTAATCTTAAATTCTTAAAATTATCTTTACCCTAACCTAACCATTGGCCACACAACAAATAGTTGTGGGTACCTCCCAGACATCCATGTGCTCATTTATTCAAAACGTATTAGTGGAGTGTCTAAGCGTTGGCCCTGGGCTGGGTTCTGGGAATCTAATGGCAGAGACTGGACGGTCTCTGTCGGGGAGGACAGCCCTGTGCGGGACTCTTCTGCTTGTCCCTCTGGGTCTATTCTCCATCCTTAGCCAGCTGCTCTGTGTCCTCTATAGGGGCATGGCCCAGGTCATTTGCCCTCTGCCTTTGGGCTGGCTCTGGCTAATGTAGTGCCCCAACAGGAGGTGTGGGAGGGAGGAGCATGGATTAGGCTCCAGGTGACCCTGTCCCTCACCTACAGGAGGGTCGCTGCTCCTCATAGGGAAGCTGACCCCACCAGACTTCCTGTCCTTCAGGGTTCCAGTAACGCTCTCTCTACTTATTTTGGGGAGCGTCTAAGAGTGAGAACAGCTTGGCTGTTGTGAGCCCCAGATGATGGCAAGGCCTTTTATGGTTTTCCTGCACAAACCTCTATAAAACGTCCTCAAATCATCTTACTCTGATTGTACCATCTGCTGCCTATTGGGACTCTGATTGAGGTAACTAATGGAATTGCAAGTTGGGAAAAGCGCTATTTAAAAAAATTAAAAAAAAAAAAAAATGGACAGCAGACTGAAATGGAGACTGTTGGGGAGTCTCTTAGTGCAGTCAGAGAATTCTCGCAGGAGGTAACATTTAAACTACAACTTGAAGGATAAGAGGGAGCCCACTGGGCAATGGGCAGGGAGGAGAGCAGTGCAGGCAGAGGAATGGCTGTGAAAAATTCCAAGCAGCAGAGAGCTTGTGAGGTTAGATGAGACTAAAAATGGGGCCTTGTGGAGAGAGCACATGGAGTGGGTGAGACGGCCAGGCGGGCAGAAAGCGTGGGCAGAACCAGATGGAGCAGGTCTCTAATTGCAAGTTGTATATGGACTTCATATTTATTCCAAGTGCAAGGAAAGCCATTGAGCGTTTTTCAGAAAGTGATATGATCTGATTTTTATAAGGTCACCCTGGGTGCTCCATGGTGAGTAGACTGAAGAGAATAAAGTAGTAACTCAACAAATTAATGAATGAGTGCTGTAGAAGCAGCTTTACTTTTTTATTTTTTATGTATTTAGTTTTTTGAGATGGAGTTTCACTCTTGTTGCTTAGGCTGGAGTGCAATGGCATGATCTCAGCTCACCACAACCTTTGCCTCCCATGTTCAAGCGATTCTCCTGCCTCAGCCTCGTGAGTAGCTGGGATTACAGGCATGCACCACCATGCCTGGCTAATTTTTTTGTGTTTTTAGTAGAAATGGGGTTTCTCCATATTGGTCAGGCTGGTCTTGAACCCCCGACCTCAGGTGATCTGCCCACCTTGGCCTCCCAAAGTGCTGGGATTACAGGCGTGAGCCACCGTACCTGGCTAGGAGAAGCTTTAGCTGCCTGCCTTTCTACCTCGGGGTCTGTCTTACCCTCCAGAATTGTACACCCCTAGAAGGAGGCGTGTGTGATTTGTTAACTCCTGCAGCCTCAGCATCTGCCCCAACACTTTTTCTTGCATATATAAGGTGTCTTTGAATGTTCACTGGAAACTTGAAATTTGACAGGGGGGCCCCTGCCTCAAGGCCCTTGCAGTCAAGGAGGGGAGCCGGTATTTTATCTTGCTGCTTCAAGGAGCACAGCCAGGCACTGACATTCCTTCTGGCAGCTTTGTAGTGCTAGCCTTGTCTTTATTTCCTGAGTGAAAGAGTAATAAAATCAGATTTCCATTCATGCAGAGATCCTCTCTGTAGCTACTGAGCACCTACAAGGCCAGGCCTATGTGTATGAGCTCCCTGGATTTCTCCTGAGGCGGTACTGTTGTGTGCAATTTGCTGTTTATAATTGGAGAACCAAAATGCATCGAAGCTGGAAGATACCTTAGAAACTATTAAATTGATGGGTTTAGAAGTTGAGTCCCCTGGAGCCCTGGGATTCTGAGCTATGGCTTCGAGAGTGTCTGAAGATGGGGCTATGAGCATCTGCAGGAGGCCCCTGTACCCATTCCACTCCACGGAACATAAAACAGTTTGGTATAAACAGGCTTGTGTTATATACTGAGATTCTATATCAAGTTACATTTATAAAAGGATTCTGTTGCTTTAACAAATTTTAAAACCACTTTTCTTGCCCAATTCTTTTGTTTTATGGTCAAGAAAAATAAATGCCAAGAAATTCTGAGTGACTTGTTCAAGTCACCCAACTGGGAATCCATAGGCTTGAGTGTCTACCATGGACCCTGTATAAAGCTGGGGGCTCTATGTAGTTTGTTTAATTCTCCTAACAAACCTGTGGGGGTAAATGATGTTAACCTCGCCTTGTTTTACAAATGAGGAAAATGGGACTGAGCGAAGTAACTTGTCCCAATCATAGAATCATAGAACTAGAAAGTGGAAGGACTGGAATTTGAACCCAAATCTTCTGGATTCAGGTCCTTGGACTACATCTTGCAGAGTCTTTTGGTTTATTAGAAGTTGCTCAGGCTTTGCTGTATGGTAGGACCACCTGGGGAATTTCACCAATCTCAACATCCAGCAACATTCCAGTTGAATTACATTAGAATGTAGGGTTGAGGGGAGACAGTTCTAAGGAATATGTTTATTATCTATTCACTTAAATTTCCTAAATGCACGTGTACTGTTTCATAGGGCTTCCTAGGAAACTGACCCGTCCTAGACCAGTTTGTCACAAACTACCACTAGCTCAGTAACTTAGAAGAAGACAGATTATTCTCTCCCAGTTATGGAGACCAGATGCTGGAAATCAGTATCACTGGGCCAAAATCACAGGCTACACTCCTTTCAGAGAGTCTGCTGGTCACCACTTCTAGCTTCCAGTTGGGGCAGCATCTGTCTAATCTCTGCCTCCATGATCTCATTGCCACCTTTTTTTTTTTTTTTCTGTCTATGCAAAATCTCTCTTAAGGATACATGTGATTGCAAATAGGGTTCACCTGGAGCATCTCATCTCAAAACTCTAATGTAATCACATCTGCAAAGACCTTTTTTCCAAATAAGGTAACATTTATAGGCTCCAGAGATTAGGATTGGCTATCTTTTCAGAATATCACACCTTGCTACTCAAAACTGACCTGCAGACAGCAGGAATAACCTCATCTGGCATCTAGCTGTTAGAAATGCAGAATTTGTCTGAGCATGGTGGCTAATGCCTCCGATCCCAGCACTTTGGAAGGCCAAGGTGGGATGTTTGCTTGAGTCTCACCAGCCTGGGCAATATAGTGAGACTCCCTCTTCTCCACAAAAAAGTATTACAAGAAAAAATTAGTTGGGTGTGGTGGCATGTGCTTGTAGTCCCAGCTACTCAGGAGGCTGAGGTGGGAGGATCCTTGAGCCTGGGAAGTCAAAACTGCAGTGAGCTGAGATCTTGCCACTGAATTCCAGCTCTAGCCTGGGCGATAGAGTAAGACCCTGTCTCCAAAACAATTAAAAAGAAATGCAGAATCTTGGGTCCCACCCAGACCTACTGAATCAGAATCTTCATTTTGATAGCTGCCCAGGTGGTACTTATACATATCAGAGTTTGCCAACGAGGCTCAGAGAATGAATGATACATCTAAAGTTCCATTGCAGCAAGGTCATGATTTGAAACATGTCTTTTGTTAACTTAAATCATACAATGTATAAATTTAGAAAGTAGACTTTATTTTTTAATAAAGGGTTACAGCCTGCAGGTGCCCATTTTGACAGTCTGGGAAGCATGGCCTTCGGCAGAGCCCAGAGACAGACACTTTGAGAAGGGCAAGAGTAAGACAGGAATTCAAACTGAAAGGGTTGGTCAGGTATATGTATTTAACAGTTTACAGGAGGAGCTATGAATATTCATGAAGGTGGTCTTGATGCATGTGTTCTGAACACACGTGTATGTTATATATGACCCATATTTATCTTGGAGTGGAGAGTTAACCTTTAAATGTATTTAAATTAGGCCCTATATGTCAAAAGATCTTTTTAAAAAACAAGCTCCCAAGTGTGCAGACTCTTTAGACCAGCCAGAAGCAGTCTGTGGTCTCTGGGTCTATGGTGTTTTTATCAGGATAAAGTCACTGAAGTCAGTCTCCTGTCTAATTAAAGCTGTAGTTATAGCTTGCAGAGCAGGGGCTAGGAGTCAGTTACTCAGTGTCTGTCAGTGGTGGCCAAGCAATAAATTGTTTATTGCTTATGTTGAGGCTGGTGCTTGTGCAGCTGCTAGAGAAAAAGAAAAACCTAACAGAAATCTAATTATTTTTTTCCCCTGAAATCTAAACAATTTAACTGTAAAATACTTAGGATATTCAGAAAAAATGGTTTGATCATCATTTATGTATGAATATTTAAGAAGATATATCAAAATTTATGAAATATTCTACTTTAGCTTATGTAGGAAGCCATATATATTGAATGCTCCTAAACGTTTAAATATCGAGTTTTGTGAGTAAGATTTTCTTGAGGCTTCAGTCTTAGTTTTCTTCTCTACAAGATGAGACTATTAGCACCTCTGCATCTGTCTGTGTATCATACGTCAATGTATGATTTAGTAACTTAGAGATTAAGGGGAACAAAAAGATAACAAATGTTGCGAAAATGATAAGACAGTTAAGAGAGATAAGAACATACTGTGAATGTTCAGAGGTGGAAGTGATTGCACCTAGATGGGAAAACAGTTAAATGTTCTTGAAGGTGCATTTAAGTTAAGCTTTGAAGACAGGTAATTCTTTAATAGCTTTTCTACATTTTCCTATTGTTTCCCCTAGGACTTTATACTGTTATTCATGAAATCTAGAAAAAATGTTATTTACAGTATTGACAGCAATTCTAATAAAGTAAGAATTTATCATTTCAATGTAACAATTAGTTTACCATATCAAAATAAACAATGTGTTTTCTAAAAAAATAGAAAAACCTGTGGCAGTTAGAAGTTTTTTTTTAAGTGTAGGAGTGCATGACTGAACCCTTGCCTGCCATGACTTTAGGTCTTGTTTGTAATTTGGTATCTTATTGCCACAGAGAGTCCATTTTGTCAGTCTTATGATCTCTATTTTAACATTAATGCTGGTCAGTTGTTGTGTCTAAACCACGGAAAAGACGTATAATGACTTCCTGTCTCATTATTGCCAAAAACTCAGTTTTTAAGATTTTTCTGGGGTTCCCCTTGGGTTGGGGGGCTTGCTTAGGATTTTATTTTTAGTTTACACTTCAGATTCATAATCTAATTTTTCTTTTCATAATCCCATTCACATAAATCTGTTCTTTTTTTGGAAACAGAAGATGCATAATTTTAGAAAAATGAAGGATGTACCTGGCATTTCTACCAATAAGATGTTAAGTTTTATGCCAGGAGAGTCTGCCTACTAGTCTCCTTGTACCACTTACGGTGCCTGCCATGGTGCTGGCATAGGGTAGGGGCTCAATTGCCACCATGTGTCAATTTAACAGGATTTTATTCCTTTGTTTGCTTCTCCAGATAGTCAAGGTGACACTGAAATACCACAGGAGGAATCTTCTCACCAGGAAGGACCAGGAGATTTGGTCCATAATGATGCTTCTATCTTTCCTATCCCCTCAGCTCCTCCAAAGAGAAGGTACAGTATTGATGCCAATGGTCAACACACATTTGCTGAGCATCTCCTATGTGCCAAGCACCGCTGCAGGTGCTGGGAGAAAAGGGGAGAGTAAGACATAGTCACTGTCTACAGGGAGGCAAGGTCTAAGGCGGGAAGACTGTCAGCTCAGTTTTCTCTATGGCAGTGCTGGCCTCTAGATACTGTTCAGCCTTCATCAGGCCAGAAGCATGGTTCTACAAACTTTTGGTCCTAAATCTCCTGAGTGAAGGTGCTAATGTCACTCATAGTTCAGGAATGACAGCAGGAGCTGCCTCTTACCTGCTCTTTGATTCATCAAGGTGCTCATTATCTTAGCTTCTTGTCTGTTTCAAATGAGAAGGCGGTTCTTATACTACCCAACAGAAAGTCAAAGCAAGCTGGCCTTCTGCATGTATTTTGCTGTATCGGTTAGCAATGATGTGTAACAAATAGCCCCCAAATCTGTGGCTTAATATAATAAGCATTTATTATTGTTCATGAATTAGCTGGAGAGTTTTGCTAATCCCCAATAGTTGCAGATGCATCATTCATGTTTCTGTAGTCATTTGGCAGCTCTGCTGACTCACTTTAGTTTAGGAGTTGGCTGGTGGTAGCCTGGCCTAGTACTGCTTTAGCTGAGACCACTGGCTCTACTCTGTATGATATCAGGTCCTCCAGCAGGCTAGTCTGAGCTTGTTCTCATGGTGGCAATGGCAGGGTTCTAAGAGAATGGAAGTACAGAAGGTCTCTTGAGGTATAGGCTTGGAACTGGCAAAAATCACTTGTGCTGCATTCTGTTGGCCAATACAAGTTACCAGGCCAGCCCACGTAACAATAGGAAGAGACTAACAGTTACAGGCCAACAAGCTTGGATACAGAGAAGCCAATGACTGGGGCTAACAGTGCTTTCAGTCTACCATATTTGTTTATGTCAATTTCCTACTTGTCATCATTCCTCATTCCCTTCCCTTTCTTTTCCATTCAAAGTTGTTACAATCAATAAAGCAAATGAGTACTTCCTTATGTGGCTGATCCTAGTTGTTGTTTCTGGGTGTGGCAGGATCTCAGGGTGCATATGTATGAGGCAGAGGGCAGTGGGAATTGGAGAAGGTGATAACTCAGCAGTTGACTCTCGAAAGAATGAAATGTGTACATACCTACTCACTGCAATATCTCCTTCCTTCTCTGTTGCACCCTGACCACCACCACCCCTCTACCCTAGCCCCTGAGTAGGGATTTCAATTATTTTTTAATATTCAAGACATTTCTTGCCATTTATTTTACCAGGGTGATAGCATTGAATGGAGGAAGGTAGGAGAAAGAGAAGTAAGGATAATAGCCTTCCTCTTTTTTCTAGGTCAGAACGTTCTCCAGCAATTGAAATTCTACCCACCCACCAATGCTCAAGTCAAATCCAACCTCTGCAGTGAAACCTTTGTTGGATACCCTGGTCCTCAAAAATTTTTTTCTCAACATCTCTTCTGTCATATTTTCTTTTCCCTATGACACATTTTACACTTGCCTACTAGTTCTTTTTTTTTTCCCCCATTTATTTTATTGCATTTTAGGTTTTGGGGTACATGTGAAGAACATGCAAAATTGTTGCATAGGAACACACGTGGCAGTGTGATTTGCTGCCTTCCTCCCCATCACCTACATCTGGCATTTCTCCCCTTGCTATCTCTCCCCAGCTTCCCACCCCCCACCGTCCCTCCCCTATTTCCCCCCAACTGACCCCAGTGTGTAGTGCTCCCCTCCCTGTGTCCATGTGTTCTCATTGTTCAA